CTAGAGGCAGTGACACTCCAGCTGGGATGAGCAGACATGTCCCCAGACATGGCCACCACAGTCTGAGAGAGGGGACTCCAGCTTCCTGTGCTGGGAGCCAACCTCCAGTCCCTGCTCTCACCACTCCCCCAGTTCCTCCCCCAGCCCCTCCCTCAACTTGCACTGGTGCTCAGGAGCGGGGAGGGCTTTCTGCCAAAGGCAGGCAAGCACTGGCTCTAGGCCCATTGCCCACGACCATATCTACATTCTGCGGGCAGAGCACAGCCTGTTCACACTGCTCACCCCATGCCTAGCGCCAGCCACAGGCAGGCCATACCTGGGGCTGCTGACAATGTGGTCGCCCTGCCTTCCTTTACCCAGGAACCAGAAGGTCTGCTGGGGATCCAGACATCTCCACGGGGCCTCCCTTCCCAGAGGGAACCCGGTCAGAGCAAGGCCAAAGGGTGGTCACCAGGTCATCACAATAGTTCATGCTTATTGGGCACTTCTGTGCCAGTGCTTTGCTTACACGTAGGCTCATCCTCAGGCACAGGATCTGTTAATTTCTCATTATACAGATAAGACACCGAGGCACGGAGATGCTCTAAAAATGATCTTACTTGGGCCTCAAGTGCCATAAGTCCTGTGATTGTTTCATGAGCGAACCTAAGGATTTCACATTCAGCGAGTGCCCGACATGTGCCAGGCAGTGACCAGGTGGAGCTCAGGACCCGAGGAGGCATTGCTGGGAGGAGTTCCTGGTCTCCCAGCAAAGGCTCTGACCCATGCACAGGCCGCCCGGCCCTGCTGTGCAGGCAGCAGCGTCCATCCAGGCGTCACCATGCCCGGTCACACTAGCGTGTCCAGTCAGCCAGGGCATGGCCATAAGCCCCGGGCCTGAGGGGCGTATACGTTCATCTCACCTTGACATCCTCACCACCTGCCGCCTCCTGGTTGCCAGGTCAGTGACCTGGGAGTCCCTGGTTTCTCTCCCAGTCCCACTCCACATCTGATCCTGGCTCAAAGCAGCCAGCTCCCCCATGGCACCCCTAGGCTCCGGCTACTTCTCACCCCTCCGTCGCCACTACCCAGCTCAAGCCTCCACCGCCTCCCCCAGGCTATACAGTGCTTCCAGGTCTCCCTGGGCCCACTCTGTCCCCTCTGATTTAATCTCCATACAACATTCAGAAAAACTCAATAAAAAGTAAGTCGGATCACATCTCACTGTGCCTCAAGCCTCCAGTACCTTCCACCACCCTCAGAGGAAAGGCCACAGTCTGCACAGTGCACTTCCTGTTCCTCTGCCTGGCACACTCCCTTCATAGACCCACATGGCTTGCTCTCACCTCCTTCAGTTTTAGGGAAATGACCCTGCTTGACCTCCCTGCTCAAACCCAGTCCCCATAACCCTCTGTGTCCCCAGCGCTGCTGCTGCTTTCTCCATGGCACTTACATCTGACACAGAATTAGCCCACTTCTTTATTTTGTTTATGATCTGCCTTCTCCAGTGACAGTGGGGGATTCTATCTGCTCACTGTTCAATCCCCAGCACCTACAACAGTGCCCAGCTCAGGGCAGATCCTAACATAGATGTGCTGGCTGGCCAGCTGGGTGAATGGCTGAGTGGGTAGCTGGCTGGGTGGGAGGCTGGCTGGTTGGCTGGGTGAATGGCTGGCTGGCTGGCTGGCTGGGTGGCTGGCTGGGTGGGTGAATGGCTGGGTGAATGGCTGTCTGGGTGGCTGGCTGACTGGGTGAATGGGTGGCGGGGTGGCTGGCTGGGTGGCTGGCTGACTGGGTGAATGGCTGGGTTAGTGGATGGGTGGCTGGCTGGGTAGCTGGCTGGGTGGGTGAATGGCTGGGTGAGTGGATGGGTGGCTGGCTGGCTGGGTGAATGGCTGGCTGGGTGGATGGCTGGGTGGCTGGCTGGGTGGTTGGATGGATGGCTGGGTGGCTGGATGGGTGGATGGCTGGGTGGGTGT